ATATATATATATATATATATATATATATATATATATATATATATGTGTGAAAGAGGGGAGGCATCGTTAAGTCAAATTTAATTAACTTGTTAATTGAAACGATATTAATTTTTTCGTGTTCGTTTAATTACAATATGCATATACCTATAGATAACTCTCTAGCGGTGATAACTTGTCAGAGTGTATAAATATTTGATAAAGGTTTACGTTTCTCGTACGTTTCACGCACACCATCTTGTAGTATGTCGTATTCATAGTATTCTGGTTGTGGTCGTATATGTAAATAAGTGTGTAAACGATAAAATGGTTGAACACGTTTTCGCTTTATCGAGTAATTACCGAGGCCAGATAATTTTGGTATTATTGAGTAATAGTGTTGCGTGTACATGGTTTGGTTTATGTAGAAAGGTGTTCATGGCTACAGTAAATGTCACTTACGCACTATGATGGCACACGCAGCACACATAGCCAGTGGTGTTCCTCATCCTATATCGAAGGCTCAACGTCCTTGCACATCGACATTGGTCGATTTCCCGCCAATTCCGTTTCGTCGTTTTCGTAGTCATTTGGCATGCTTAGATATACTATATGTATTGTGTGTCGCTTTAATTAGTATCGTAGCATGATAATATGGCATAGACAGTAAAGCACTCCTTTCCAATGTGTGTTAGTCACGTCTAGCATCCGTACATTTAGCACACGGTTTTTTGCCACCCTCTCTATGTGTGTTTCTGTCTCGTTGTTGGTTCCACCTTTCATCAGTAGTTGGATGTAGCGTTACACGTAACTATCCTCCGCGACTTGACAATTCGAGATATATTAAACATGCAGGAAGATGAGGCTGTCGCGACAAATCCGGGATCAACCGAGCAATTAAGCTTCCGTGAGCGGATGCAACGTTTCAATCGGATGGCTAGCGAGACCGATCTCCAAGGCAGATCTAATGGCACTATCACACCTACTAAAAAGCGATCCGACAAGGTAATCGACAATCTTTTAATAATTCCTTTCTTTCCTCCTTCTGACAGACGATCAATAGTACTCATCGGAGTGTTATACTCTGACGGTCATATAGCATGGGAGTTGCCCCACGCCGTTTATTCTCCCCGCCAAGATTCCCGCCAGGAATTATATTCTCTAGTCAATTTGATCGGTGGCTAAAAAATTGTATAGGCACGTCATGCGATGCCTAATCGCGCGATTATAAAGCGAGTCATGCGAATGAGGAAAATAGCGCGGGAAAGAGAAAGAATAGAAAGAGTGACGAAGCATGATAATTACGGGAATAATGGATATCGATATCCATTATTAATATCGTAAAATATATTCTCCTGGCGTTTGGAGCTAATTATTCGACGGTGCTGCGCTTCGAAACACGTTATTAAACGTACGACAAACGGCATAATCGTGTGGCTAATGCTACTCGACTTATATATCCCTCGTCTCGTATAAGATATCGACAAATTACTCTAACATTTATCGACAATTGCTCTAACAGAAAGCTTATATTATCTGACTATCATCTTCACGCGGATGTAATTCATGTGAGAACACGTATCAAGCAGCTCCCCAGTTATAAATAAGTATCTTTTATTACCTCGAGATAAGATCGGTTAATAACACGAGGTGTTTTTAAACGTTTCGCTTTCAAAGCATAACTACCCATCTGCGAGTTTGTTTCGCGTTTGACACTGAGTTATTGGAGAAAAGGCGAACGTACAGTCGGCGGACAGCCGGCTTTCGATATATCGAATAATCCACACGCAAGGATACACACGTCCTTTTTCTCTTTTTTTTATTTGGCGAGGAAGGGACGCGGCGCGTACAGGCCTGGCTGCTCATCTTGCATACCGAATAGACTACTAAGAATCCTTTTCTCGTATCCTTTACACGCGCGCGCTTCCCGCCAGTCAGTGTCCTTTGCCTCTTTCTCTATCTGCTCTCCCGCAGCTTCGCCCTCTCGCTTCCCCCCTCTCTCTCTCTCTCTCTTTCTCTCTTTCTCATCTCGTCTGTCGCTGTTCGTGCGCCGTTTATCGCGGCGAGCAATATTCATCGCATTTGAATATCCTGCGGGCGGTATCTCGCGTACCGATCAGGATGTTGCGTCGATGTTGCCGTAAATCATAATTAGCCGCGCCTGAAAATTAAAAGTGGAGGAGGCAGACGCGGCGGCGGGAACGAGAGGATCCTTTCCGCCGCGGCCGCAAAGCTTGCACGAGCTCACCGCCGCTCGTCCTTTACGCGCTCGATCCTCCATCATAATTTCGATATGTTTATCGTGCCGAACGATTAAAAGGACCGGCCACGTGGAACCCTTAGCGGCAGTCGGAAGGAGTCAGCCCTC